AAATTAATTGAGTGCAATACTAGAAAATTCATATTACGATATTATCATGATAAAAATTGATTGTATGAAAAAGCATACTATTCAAATTTCATGCAAAAGAGAGTTAATTTGGTTGTCTTGAGAGTATTTACTTACCAAGTTTTTATAAATTCAAACAGATTTTGTTGAAATATAATAATACTTGTATTTAAAAATAAAAGTGATTTTATCATAAATCTTGGTGCCTATTTGAGGTTGTTGCAGTTGTTTGATTAACCAGCTGTGAAACTGCTGTTTAAAAAGCTGCAGCGGCTATTAAAATTTTTCTTTTGAAAAAGCGAGGTCGTAATTTTTTAGCAGCCGCCGCAGGTAGTAAGGTTTGGTGAAAAGACATAATTTTCAACAACCATTTGAGAATGCAAACAACACAATTTCATCAAATATTAAAAAAACTACGATGCGTCACCGCACCGCCGCCCCAAACACACTCTTAAAGATGTGAGTAGATTTTATTTGACGAAATAGAGCAATATTTGTATTTTAAATTTAAATTTTCATATTTTTATTCAAAAGACAACTAATAATGATGTTAGAGCACTTGTTTGCTTTATCTTTTTCTAATTGAAAAGATGCCACTAATCCAGCTTTGAAATACGTTTATGTAACAAAACGTACACAATAAAAGAATTGAATCAAAATCGTACACAATATTTAAATTTAAAATACAAATAATGAAAAGGTTTACTTCATTTATTAAAAGAGCATGATGGTTTCTTAAAGTCCTTCGATATGAGATACCATCTTTATGATTTTGAGCGCAACAACCAAGTGATTAGAGAGAAATGAATTGTTCAATAACATAATTTATTATTATAGAGTATTACTGAGAGAACATTCAACATATGGAAGAAGTTGGTCATATGCTGAGATATATGACATATTCTTTCAAAAAGCAGATAAAAAAAGTTGTTCCATAATTTTATACTGAGACGTCCATCTTGGGACGATGTTGATTTCAGGCTCTTGAATGAAAATCTAATATACATACGTGTAAAAACATTGAAACATTCAGCATGGCAATCATTGCTTGAGAAAGACATTAGTGTGAATGAATTCAAGACATCTGATGAGGAAGGTGCTCAGAAGATAATCAAATTAAGAGAAGATATTACAAATGCACTAGTGAATTCATAGAGTATATTTAGTTAATATTTTGTAGTGTCTTAGGCTGATGTTTAATATTTGAGATGTATTGAGGATTGATTGATGTCTATTTTTTTCTTTTATGTTTTGATATTTTAATTTTAAGGTTATAAGTTTAGATATGCATATTTTTACTTACATTTGATTTTTTATATATGATTATGAAACCTAATACTTTTTTTTGGTTATTGTTCTATTGCATATGTAGTTTACTTTGTCAATTAAAAGCATAATATATTACATTATCAGGAAAAATGAGTTCAATGTAGTAATTACATTACGAGCTCTGTATCATTGTGGTACGCCTTATCCTGAATACACATAAAAAAAAAGAAAGTGGATATGGAAAGAGTTTATGTTGTCCCGAAAATATGACACGTGAAGATTACAGGTTTTTTGATATTAATGATAATGAGTTTGCTCTAGATAGTGAACAAGTCAGAAGAGATGTTATAAATAAAAAATTATCTCGAAGACTTGATCGTACATGAAGACTTGATTGTCCGTAAATCACATATTGAAGTCACCAACTGCAAAGATATTCTATGTTGCAGATCCACAACGTCTGATATATGTAATCTTATCATTGTTGTCAACGCATGCATTGACATTTGTGTCATCAATTGCTCATATGTAATATTATTTAAAATATTCATTAGAATAGTTTTTTTTTTTTTTTTCGTAAAGCATGCATACAAATTAAATATATAAATCAATACTTTGAAGAATGTCATGCATTTCACATCGTTACAAATTTTCTTGGTAAATGCATAAAAACATGATATAAATGAGTTTGAAAATGTTATTTGACAATGTTGTTTTACATTTTAACCAAATAATTAACTCAAATATTGAAATATCTACAAACGTCTCTACTGTGTTCGAATCACTATTCAACAGTATGAATCGACTCGTTAAGTGACAACATATAAAGTGATTGCCAATACTTTGCTGAGTGTAAATCGGGATGATAGCGGCTCAACAATCCATTTGTCGCCTACATATGAGAAAGACACGATGTCAAGCACAAATTTGTCTAATAGTACTCATTGATCAAACATTGTAATTGTCAGAATTATTCTCCGTTCCACTATCTCTATAATTTCCTCTTCATTTGATGAGTTCATCTAGCTACTTTTTATGTTAAAATATATAAAAATAACAAGATGTGTTATAAGTGAGAAGCTAAAAAATTAAAGTATTACTAGTGAAAAACATACATACATACTTCAATGTCACATGAACACAACACATGACACTATTCGACATAAAAGGTTAAATTATTACACAAATCAAACCTAGAAATTAAAAAAATAAACATAAATTAACTAAACCTATTGTTTAAAAAATATCGGAGATAACTATTTGTTTCGATATCGTCAACATGACTGTTCGATCCTCTAGAAGTTTTATAGCAAATAAACATAGTGACATATGATCAAACATCTCGAGAGAGGAGTCCAGTAGCCTTACGACTTGTCATAGTAGTGTATCCTTGAAATGTCATGCTAGCACGCGATGTTATATTGGTGCAGGTCAATAATGAAATATGAAATTTGTCCAGATAAGTGTTGGGTGTCGACCTGCATTTTCTTTTTATGCTTCTAGGTGGAGGGTGCAAAGCTTTTGAAACGATTAGATTAACCTTCTGTCTCTTGTGGTGCTTCTTGTTAAACTTCATTTGAATGAGTATATTCAAGCTTATCCAAATTTTGAGAAATGAGAAACATAGAATCAAGTTCTTCGCTCAGAAGTTTATGTAAGAAATTTTTTTTTTTTTTACATTGTGCCGGACCTATAATTGATAAAATCATAATTCAATTAACATAAGAATATAAATGATTCATATAATATTTTCTACTTATTGACTTTTTTTCTTTCCACCACTCTTCTGATGCATCCACTATTTTCTTAACAATGTCTCAACCTAATTTAGCCGCCCCTCTTTAACTTGTTCCATAATTTTTCCTTTTTTTCACTTGATTTCATTTGTTCTTCAACTAAGTTTTTATATACAATCTTTTGTTTTTTCAAGAAAATTTTTTGTTATGTTTTATCAGCCTTCTTTATTGAAGTGTGTGGTTATTCTATTGACAATTTCGATCTTTTCCAAGCATGTCACATTAATATAATATTCAACTTCTCCCAAATGACTGATATATCAAATTAGTTTTGTTTCTCCATCCAATGTATCATGAAGATAAAAAATTTGGTGGAAATTATATAATTTAACTTATAGCTAAAAATTTAGCTAAAAAAATCAAAACAAAATTTTAAAAAAAGACAACAAATCGAATAAGAGCTCGGCAATATCAGTTTATCAACAGACTATTCCATCTAAGATCATCAATTGTATCATACAAACTTTAAGAGTAGGTAGTATTTATGGTTAACAGTTTCATGTGTGTTTAAAATGTTGTCTGTGGTTAACTGCATCATATGGGCTCTAAGATCATGTAGTTTATGCGGTTAACTATGTCTTGCAAGCTTCAAGACTAGATAGTATATATGATTAATTATAACATGTAGACTGTAAGACTAGATTGTACTTGTGGGTCAACTATTTCATATGTACTTTCAGATCAAGTATTATGTGTGGTTAACAGTGTCGTGTATTTTAAGACTAGGTAGTATGTGTGGTTAACTGTGAATGCAAATAAGTGAGGACAATTATATGAATCAAAGTTGATCGATTCAACTCTTTTTTTTTCCATCATTGTTATACATAAGATTAGGAAAACTAATGTTGTCAACCTCACAATACATATATGAATGATAAAGTTGACTTTTTGTATGCAAAACATTATAGCCAACAAAAATCATAAATCAAAACAACCCCAACCACAACCTACATAACCTTAACCACAACCAACCAAACCACAACCAAGAGTAACCCCAACCACAGCTAGCATAAACCCAACCATAGCAACCCCAATCACAACCAATAAATACCGCATAACCCAAAACACAACCCAGATAATCCTAACCACATCTAACCAAACCACAATCAAAGCAATCCCAACCACAACCGCATCCAAACCACAACCAACAAAGACCACAAAACAACAGTCAAAACCCATATAACCCAACCAAATAAACCAAACCACAGGCCACATAATCCCAACCACAGCCAACACAAACCACCAAATCATACCCACAGCCAACAATACAAAGCCACAATCAACCCTAACCACAAGCACAACCACAACCCATGCAAACCAACCAAATAATCCAAAACGCAAGCAATATATCCCAAACCACAACCATCAAAGGACACCAAACCAGACCCACAGCCGCCAAACCACACCCACAACCAACAGAGACCACCAGACTATACCCATACCCAACACCTGTCAATTCATAACCACAACCCAAATCACAGCCACTTCCCAAATAACTCAACCAAACAACTCAAACTAAAACTCATATAACACCAAACACAGCCATCAAAGACCAACAAACCACGCCCACAGCTAACAACCAACATTGCAAACCACACCCACACCCACCACCAACAGGCAAAAGAAACTACCAAACCACGCCCGCAACCAGCAGTCATTAATGTAAAACCACAACCAACCCCAATTACAGCCACATCCCATATAACACAACAAAATAACTCAAGCCGCAACCTATATAAACTAAACCACAACCATCAAACACCAACAAACCATACATCCTACAGGCAACATTTCAAAACCACACACCCACACATCTAACAGCCAACAGAAACCACCAAACCACACCCGCGGGGATAGAAATGTAAAACCACAACCACAACTACACCCACAACAAATCTGCAAATTCGAAGTTTGGAGAGAAGCCAAAAAACCAACAATCAAACTTAAGGATTAAAGAATATACGAGCAGATCGGAAAGTAGAAATCCGACAAGAGGGAAGAAAAATGAGGAGCCAAAACTACAACCACATAAAAAACCTTTGTAACCCTAAATCAAAGAGTATCATTCAAGATATATACAGAGAGGCCACATTGAAGACAAGGGGGGGAGCTAACACCACCAAGAGCCATGCCCTAATCTTGGATGCCTGCAAAGAAGATGGGGGAAAAAGGAAGTAACACAGGTGTAATATTGTGAATAATATAAGATATTTTTGGAAAAAAACAAGGGGCAAAAGTCATTTCACATCCAGGCCACGATGTGTTCCGTAACCGATCCCGGCACCGCCGTTCACAGCTTCACCGTTTTGGTAACGGGATTTCACAAAAAGCACCCAAAACTGCTTTTCAAAACAGAAAGCAGCTAAAAGGCCCTCCCCCTCACAAATACACCCAAAATCTGAACAGAAATAAGAACCAAGAAAACAATTTCAATTTTATAAAAAACTAATAATTCATTAATTTGATCCCATGAAAATAACAATTGGTGCTTTACAATGAAGAATATTACAATCCTAAACCATCAATCAAGCCATTCACCGCCTGATTCAAATTTAACAAAATCTATTAACACAAAACTATCCACATCTCAAATAACTCCTCAATTCAGGCAAAGTGCTATTGAAGCTAAACAAAAGATTTTCATTCACACAATTCATCAGCATGAATATCATTAGAAATTAAATGAGCCTCTTAAGGGGAAAAAAAAAAGTAGCACCTGATTTCTCAGTCACCAAATTCCTCGGCCAAAAAAGAGAATTGAATTGAACCATCAGAAACGTAAACTTTGAAGAAGATTTAACTCTGAAGAAAAACTAGAATGGCATTCGGCCTGCAAGCCTGCTTTCAGAAATCCTCCTATCTATGGCTGCATTAACTGAGTTCATCTGGAGAAATATGAGATCAAGGTGGGGATCAGAGATGAACTGAAACCAGAATTTGGTTCAGTAAATTTAAACTTATGAAGTATTATTCATCAATTTAAGAAGGGGATATAGCAAAAACTAGATAACTGGCTGAATGAATGAAAGCTGACCTGTGAAAAGTCTGGTCGCACACTGATCAAAAACAGATAACAAAGAAAAGAGACCTAAGGGTTGGCAAAAGCCTGACAAAAATTAAAAAAAAAAATTCTTCCAACCAGATCCCCTTTGCTTGTTAAAAAGCAATAAAATTAAAATATAAACAAATTACATACACATTTTTGGATGGAGAAATGAGAGTCCTCGAGTGAAATGCGGCAGAGGCACGTTAGATTTGTGGAGTTAAAAAAAATTGCAAAATGGTAGCGAATAATTAATTAGTTTAATGCTGAGAAAATAGAGGATGCTGATGAAATCTTCTAAGACTAATATTTGTTATAACTGATTTAGTTTTCACTATCCCATCAAGTATGATTTCATCAATATATATGCATATAGTTGAAAAACTTGTAAGAAAAAACCTGGAGATGGCTTTGTTTTTCCAATCCATCATTTGGATCTGCTGACCAACAAGCAAATCGATTTTAATCAAAAAGAGAGTGCAGTAAAAACTTACCTGGCTAGTTTCATCGTGAACCTGATACTTCCCCACTGACATTCTTCTTTCCTCCTACATAACAGAAGCATGTTATGAAACGAGAAAATGGGAAGCCGAACAAACGAAATTGGGCAAGTGGAATCTAAGCATCACTTTTTACATTATGCCAAACCAAATATTTCTTATCACATGAAAAACACCACCATTTTAAAAGTATAATACACCTTTTCATGCATATAAATGTCGAATGTATGTAAAAAATGAAGGGTAGGTGTTAGATATGTAAATAAATAAGAATTAAGTGGTATGTATGTAAAAAAAAAAAATCAAGTTTAGGTGTTAAGGTGTTAGGTCTGTAAATAAATAAGAATTGAGTGGTATGTATTTAAGTATTCCAGGGAAATAATGTGTCTGTGCTGCAAAACTAACCATGGACATAGCCTCATCATCCCAAACCAAGTAGACCTCATTGATAGCTGGCTGAGGGCCAGGAGCTTCGTTGGAAATCACGGGTGGAGGACCAATGGCGGGACTGCTTGTATTTGGACCAGATGCATACATATGAGAGCTGACATAAGAAGCCCCACCGCCTAAAGAAGGAACAGAACGCATATGTCGACAATAAACAACAAACAAGATTGTAAATGAACCGAAAACAATCTCTTTCATGCAAAATTGAATTTACAATATCACCAAATCACAATAGAAAACTTGCTATCCAAACACTAAAAAGGCACATTCTACAATTCACATTATAAAAACAGGTAAATATCAAATATAACGTTTGATATAATAGATGGATAAAGAATGGAGTATGCAAATTATGAGACCTCATTTAAAATAATTCATAAAACAACAGGTAAAACACAGATGCAAAGTTCATATGAACTTGCTTTTGTATTCATGCTACATTAGCTGCATGTTAACATTTTCAGATATACCCACATAGACAACTTTGAAACACCTCCGCAATTTGCTTATGGCAGTGAACAAACAATAGCCAATTACAAACTAACAATGAACTATATGGATGCTTCGACAGAGAATATTATCCTTAAAAAAGATAGAATGACAATATGTTCAAATTTTTTCTTCAATCAAGAGGTAGTCTGGATACTCTGCCGCATCACCTAGAATTTTCAAAACGTAAAAGGTATTTGGCAGGGATAACCATCCAAAAAGCGATGTTTTTAAAAGCATGCTTCACGAGCAAAATGACGTAAAGCGTATGACACCAGCTTCACTTTGTTGAAGCGTACTTCGAAACACTGAAGTTAATTTGCAGGGTTTCTTTTGCAATTATTATGTTCTTAATTATTACAACAAACAAACTATTAAAAATTGTTCAAAATTTTAATTTCCAGATTTACTCAATGATTACTTTCAAGTTAGGTATTATACCACATTTTTTTCTATTTTATATTAACTTTTAAGTCATTTTATAATTATTAATCAATGCATTTATATATTAATTATTTTATATAGCCTATTACCACTTTGATTAATAAAAGCACGGCTTTGTTCTACACTTTGTGCTCTGAAGAAAAATTAAAGATACTTTGTGCTTTGATAACAATGCTAAAAAGAGCCACAATGACCCGTAAATTTGCAAGCATGGCGGAACATTAACATTGCTCTTAGATCTACAATAGTTTCAATGTCCATAGCCTTTGTTTTCCTAATGGACATTTACCTACGTGTGCCGCTTCAATGTTTCTATAATATTTTCAAATAAATGCCTCTTTTGTCAATCCGGACAATACAATCGGAATTAGCTATTTCCTTAATGGAGACCTCAAAAAGCAATTTAAGGAAAAAATTGAGTAATATTTGACCATTTCTAATTAAGAATAATGGCACATCATGCTAAATAAGTAATTTTATAAATGATTTAAACTAAAGATCTGATATGGCTATCAAAAAAGCATCCAAAGTCGAGGTTGATTAATAATAGAGCATGGTAGCAAAGAGAGAAAGCAAAATGCTTGATGATCTAGCAAGCTGTCCACTTTCTACTCTTAATATACCCATATATATATATGTATATATATTCAAATGTAAGATCAAATTTATTGATGTTGATCTATCAGCAAACTACTAATTCAATGCAATGTTCTTAAAATTAAGTCTATTAAAATTACTCTAGATGTCTTTTATACATGCTAAAAAAATTCCATTACATTTGACAAATTCTACAAAAATAAAACAATGAATATTCTATCTCATTATCTAACTTATTGTTAGGGTGTTACTTTGTATGCTTGATGCAAGATCAAATCATCATGAAATATCTCACGAAAATTAACACCTTACTAACTTTGTGAAGTTTAAAGTAAATGGCCTTGAATTAGTGATTAAATTTGGTATGATAAAAAAGTTGAGGGAAAATAAAATGTTGTTCTTGACAGCAATCTCATCAACTATATAAATTGTTATGATGTAACCATTTGTATGATTGATGCATACTCAAACCATGGAATTTTCACAAATTTTGGTATCATGATAATATGTATGGTGATTTTTAAGGTATTGAGCTTGATTTGCTGGTTTGGTATTGTATGAGTGTATAATAAGAAAAAATATGTGAATGAATATATTCATCCTTCCAAAAGGATATCTATTTTGGTATTATATGAGTTAAAATAAGACAATAAATTTGTCCAAAAAAATATCTCTATTCCTTGAAGGAAAAGAATTTTTTCTTTTGTTTCTTTTAACTAGTCTCCAAAGATCAAAATCTTTTCAACTTCCACGCCCCATCTTCTCTTATATGAGTGCAATTTTAATTATTTTCTTTACAAATTTGAACTAAACATCCATAAATAATACTTTATATCCAATTGCCAAATTCTCTCCTAGAATCAATATTTTAACTTTTCTTCCTAATCACTTATAAAAATAGCCAAGTTTAACAACAATTTCTTAAAATATACTTATTATTGCAATATCATATGCTACTGCGAAATCAAATATAGCTTCCCTCATGATATTTCTCTCTTATTCTAAACGAACCATAAATTCTCTTATAGAATGTATTACTAGAATATGGATGTCCACTCACATCACCTTTAAAAATACGTCAACTCATTGGGTATACATGTTAATAATTCATTCATCAATTTTGAAAATTAGCTTTTTAAATTATCTCATCATCTAACTTGAGAGGTATAACATTAAAAGATGTAATGTCATCACTGATAGTTAACTTAGTAACAATTATCCAATTAGTAATTTTCATCAACTTAGTAATTTTAACTTTAAACGCTTCACTGATTATCATCCTTGCCAATTCATATTATCAAACCTCCCAACATAAAATAGCTTCTATTCTTCCCCAAGGATCCTAGATTTCTCACCTTGCAATTTAGATTCTAGCATAGAAAAAAAAAAAAAAAAAAAAAAAAAAAAAGATGACATTAACACTTTTTTAATCAAAGATGTAATGACATCACTGATAATTAACTTAGTAACAATTATCCAATTACTAATTTTCTTCACCTTAGTAATTTTAACTTTAAACTTTTCATTGATTATTATCCTTGCCAATTCATATTATTAAACCTCCCAACATAAAATAAACTTCTAATTTTCCACAATGACCCTAAATTTCTCACCTTGCAATTTAGATTCTAAAATAGCAAAAAAAAAGGCATTAACACTTTTTCTAATCATGATTAGGGTTGTCAAAAAACTCGTCATTCATGAACAACTCGTGTTCGGCTTGTCAAATAGCTAATGTTTGATTCATCCGTTAAGCAAGCGATCCGAACACTTAACAATTTCTTGTGAGCTCGATTTATAAACGAACCAAGCACTGACAATGGTTTGCTCATTCGTGTTTCGCTCGTTTTGGCTCGAAATAATTAAATAATTAAATAATATTATTTATTTACATTCATTTTATATTAATTTTCATATGTATTTAAAAAAGGATAAATTTTATTATTTTTAAAATTTATTTATGTGATAAATTATATAATATATAAGTTAGGTGTTAGATATGTAAATACATAGAATTTGGGTGGTATGTATTTGTCCCGAAAACAGCTCTTTGAGGCTGGCAACCTCAAGCAATTATTTGGATTTTGTAAATGCAGGTAGGTCAAAGATGTGCATGGAGTGTGGAACAATGGGGATCCTGCATGTCGCATTCCATAATCTCAACCTCTCAAGTAATGTTTAGTCCCATATCGGGAATAACAAAAACTTTGTTGTGAGAAAAGCTTTCTATAAGCATATATTAGGTTTTTTCAATGCCAAAGAAAATTTATACCATGCATAAGAAGCATTTGAACCGGTTTTTGTTCAGTAAAAATAATTATTTTTTTAAAATTTAAATTCAAGTCGAACACGAACAGGCTATTTACGAGTCATATTGAACATGTGCCTACACAAATAAAAAAAAAAAATTGAGCAATCCGAACATGAACAAGACTTGGGCTTGCTCAAGCTAGGCTCGTTTATACCCCTTATTCATGATGCCCATTAATTTGTCTTTTCAATCAAGCATTCAAATTTCACATAGCAAATCTCTCATAATTTTAAACCTATTCAATCCTTGTAGTGGCATGACAATTACAAAGTATGTTCTACTGACTAGTGACATCATAGCAAACCCTAACCATCTCACCACAAATTGGTTAGGCAGTATCACCATGTTATTAAATACATCCTCAAATTAAAAATTCACACTTGATTCATTTAGTGAATTTTAACATAAGTTTAATATAGGACTTAGCCTAAAATTTATTTTAAATTGTTTTATGCAAATATAGGATGAGACGAACAATGAAATATAGGCTAATAACAATTTATATTAAGGAATAGCAACAAAAACACTTCATTAGATTCCAAATAATATATTAAAAGTTATCAAATTTCCCTAGAAAATAAATGATGTATACTGACTGTTTTCAAAGATAAAGTACAAAAAAAGAATCTAATATGTATCACTGGACAAAATTTCAATCACATAAGAGAGCACAAGAATAAAAACCAATCAAAGGAAAGCCTAAGCCTTACTCTGAAACAAGGTGACTCAACCTCGAAAGAAATCATAAAAACCTGCAAAAGGCTTTAAGAACATATATTTCACCAATATAGACAAAAATGGTGGAAAATTGAGATTTTATTTTGAAACTCATTGCATGACATTTTTACATGCCTCTGAGGCCCTACTATATTAGCCCAAGGGGTCCCCAAATAAAAGCTTGAAATTATCCCAGCACAAATAATAGAAAGCTTTAGGTATGTTAATTTCATGTGATTTCATCCATTAAAGGTAAACTGAGGGCAAAAAAGCTATGCTACAACTATCACTAGCAAAAAGGTCGGTTCAGGATTGTCGCAGTTGGCGGGAGATGTAAGCATGAAGTAGATGGTTTAGGAAACATAGGTTGGAATCCCAAGCCTATAGCATTACTGTTATGAAAATTCTATTTGGTCCAAAACTATAACACAACTTGCAGAAATAGAAATCAAAGAAAACCAACTTCAAGGTGGTAAAATATTAGCTGTGGTAAAAATGAAAGGAAAAAGAACGAAACTGCATGTATGAAAATATAGAAACAATTTGCAAGAACGAAAAGTA